CAAACATACTGACACTACTGATAACTCAGGAAGCTGGCAAAGTAAGCAATCCAAGTCAAGTTTAAAGTATGCCAAGTTGCGTAGGAGATGGTCATTTAGTGTTCCCTCCCTTTTTATAGAGATTTGATAAGTATCATGTTACACAGGAACTTAAAAAGCTTCCTTAAACCAAGCTAAAGCATTGATCTATATTGCTCATTATCATCCATTTTAAGTGGACTAGCAATGCTAGTCAATCAGTTCAAACTCAGTATTTCCCAGTCCTCCCAGGAAATCATTGAGGAATTAAACATGGCACTCGTTCCACTAAGATTCATGCCTACCAAGGAGCTATCACTCCTCTTTTTAGAAAAAAAATGGTTTTATAAAATCTCCTTCTACCAATTAATACATTATGTAAAATCTATTTAATAATAAACCAAGATGGCTAAAACTTTATATGGTGAGTTTTTCAGAACTTAAATTCAATATAGCATACTACATCAGAAATGCAAAATATTAAACTTTGAAACTTGTTTCCTTTTACTGAACCATAAGTTGTACGAGTTACCTCTTATGATTCATTGTGAAATAAGAAGGGGTGTAAAGAAAAGTAGCTGCTTGTTTTTTTCACTGACCTTTTTTCAGAATAAATGGTGGACTCTGGACATCGTGATTAGGTTTGTACATCACACTAAGCCATTGTTTGTTTAATCAAGGCTTACTGAAATTACCATAAAAGATGTTTTCCAACCAATTTTGACTAGGTCCACACAACACACTGAACCCAAACAATACAAAACATATGTGACAATTCCAGCTGTTACCATAACATTATTAATGAGGTACTGATAGCCTTTTAATCCATCCAGCAATCCTTCCTTCTCTTGTTCAAACCAGGAACTGGTAGAACTGTTTTATGGAATAAAGGAAAAGTCCAAAGACCTCCATGTTTCCCTTTGACAGCGTCCAAACCATATTTGTGCTGTGGCATAGACAGAATAGCTGGAACTGAGCACCAGGAGAAACAACACCAATATCCTGTGACCTACACTGTGTTTACACTACCGTATTGCCAAGAAAATTAAATGCAGATACAAAAGCAGGTCTGTGGAATCAAGGCAGATTTGTTAAGCTCCCGAGATTTGTTCGATCACACTCTGCAGGGCATTCTGGCATACACACCAACACACAGTGGTAATACACAGCGCTGTCTGGATCGCAGGCTGAATCCTGAATAGTGGCGCCGAATTTCCCCGGACACGCGCCTCCCTCCTTCGGCTCACGAGGAGCAGAAGAGTTCTCCAGCGAAGGATCCTCTCGCCCACCAGTGCCGCCGGCGCGGCCCTCTCACCTCCTCGGCTTACCTGTTGCAGGGTTCAAAAGCGCTCTCCGGTGCCTTCTGCCGACCTCTTTCAGCTCCTCCTCGTCTTCTTCTAGACGCCAAGCTTCAGCCATCGGCGCCAGAGACAAAGGCGGCCTTCAGGCTGCAGCCGCCTCCATTGTGCGTACCGCAGACTCTCCGGCTACCCTTTGTCCGCACCTGCACCTGACGCTTCCCGCCGGAG